CACAACCCACACTAATCATAAAAGAGGTATGTCTGTACGTCTAGGAAACTAGAACAGAAAGGAAGACGCATCGGAGGTCTGGATATTTGAAGTAGAAAAACAGTCTGAAGGCTATGGGGCATTCCTAACAAGGAACAAGTTGTTGAGCAGATCTTTCTTACCCTGAGAGGAATAATGTGGTTCCTGTCACCTTAAGATAAAGGGCTAGGAAGGAAATAGGATAGATAAAATGACTATCTAGTGTACTGTCAGCCATGAGACATAAACATTATAATAGAACTCGAGTCTCAGAAACCTGATCATACTACTCTGTGTATTTCTATAATTAGCTCTACTTTGTTTTCCATGAATAATTAGTAAAGTCCATTTTGAAATATTAATATTAGCTGATCTCAGCATATTTAAAGACGTCAGGGAAAGCAAGTCCTTTGCTTTTTAAAAAAAAACAAAAACAAAACTAATATTTAAGCCAACTTTACAAGAATATCATTGTGAAGACAATTTTTTTTGTACATCCTTTGTGCAGAAACTAAAATGGTAAAAATTAAGAATTTATATACCATCACAGGAAAACAGAAATGCTCTGATGAAAACAATCTAAATAAATCCCTAGATCTGATTAACTCATTTGGTGATTCTGTCTAGGCAATTTTTTCTAAACATCACTACAACAGGAAGAGTAACTAAAAACAGCAAAATTATATTAAATAAAGGATGAAGCCCACACTTTAATACAATCAAATTTTTAAACAACCAGGATTCCAAACTGTTTCCTCTAAGCTCTAATTTCATGAGATATTAAGGGGGATAAAAAGGAGGGGCTGTCTTACATGCAACCACTATGTATTTTGGTATCTACATGGCATACTACCCAGAAACAAAATCTGTGAAATTAAAATTAGCAGATAAAGCAACACTGGAATTATTAATAACTACACTGAAGCAAATCATTCCTTTACCTTCACTGTGTTACACTGTTAGAATGTCTTCTTCCCCACACTTATTTACCACACAACCTAGTATCTAGGATGGTGCTGGACACACAGTGAATGCTCAACAATCTCTTGCTGAATGAACTATTTGCGAAGCAATTTTCTACTGTGTTCTATACACATCCATCAGGGTTAAATAAACACAGTAGCCACAGGGACCTAATGCACTTCTTCACTATTATTTCAGCTTGAAAAATGACCATGGCACTTTGCAATTTAATAAGTTAAAAACAACAGCCAGTTCCTTTCTGGTGTGCAGTTTCATTTATTCACACATGTCCAGAGTTCTCACCTTTAATTGAAGGAGAGCACTTAATTTCCAAGTTGTTTGGTGTAAGAGTAAAAATAATCCTGAAAACATCTTTTTAATACTAATGAAACAAAGAGATATCTTCAGAAAATCATCTCCATTTCTATATTCAGTGATCCAGTTGTAGAACTATAAGATATACTTACATACCTATATATGCAGTTCAGAGTTGAACCACTACCTTAGTAACTAAACTTACAGACTGAGATGGGAGTAAGAGAGGATTTCTTTGAAATTTTATACGCTTAACAGTTACTTTTTCCTGAGTCTTTGGTAGATTCAGTTTACTAGATGATTTGCAATAAAAGGCAGAAATTATCCCATCCAAGTACTAACCAGGCAGTAAAAGGCAGAACTTGAATTCAAACCCTGAGCTCTAACTCCAGATGCAGAACGTGTAACTAGTGGATGAAAGTGGGACTTACAAGACTGACTGGCCCATAACGCAGGTGTTTCTCTGTTAAACTCTCACGCAGCTGATTCACAATGCTGCATATTGTCAGTGGACAGCCAAGGGGCTCCTTTTATGCACATACCACCCGCCACACCTTCTCAGATTCTTTTCCATCATAACTAGATATTGTCTATACTTCCCTGTGATAGACAATAGGTCTTTGCTGGTTATCTATTTTATATATTGTAGTGCGTATCTGTTAATCCCCCCTCCTTTCCCTTTTGGCAACCATAAATTTAAGTTCATTTGTATCTTTTTTTTCAGATTCCACATACAAGCGATTATGTGTTATTTATATTTGTCTGACTTACTTTACTTAACATGATAATTCTAGGTCTATTCACGTTGCTGCAAATGTCATTATTTCATATGCTTTTATGGCTGAGTTAACACCTCAGTGTGTGTGTGCGCCCATACACTGGAAAATACACATATATACACACACAACACATCTTCTGCACCCATTCACCTGTGGAAGATACTCAGGTTGCTTTCATCTCTTGGCCAATGTAAACAGTGCTGCGTGACACTGGGGCATGTATCTTTTTGGATTAGCGTTTTCATCTTTTTCTGATAATGCACCCAGGAGAGCGAGCACTGGATCACGACAGCTCTATTTTTAGCTTTTTAACAAACATCCATACTGCCCTGCACAGTGGCTGCACGAAGTCACTCTCACACCAGTGGTGTGGGAGGGCCCCCTTTTCTTCACGCCCTCCCTAGCACTTACTACTGTAGGCTTTCAGGTGACGGTGATTCTGACCAATATGAGGCAGCACCTCACTACAGTTTTATTTCCATTTCCTAAATAGTTAACACTGATGAACATCTTTTCATGTGCTCCTTAGCCATCTGTATGTCTTTTTCAGATAAACGTCTGTTTAGGTCTTCTGTCCATTTTTTGATTGGGTTGTTTTTTGATATTGAGCTGCATGAGCAGTCTGTATTATTTTGGAAATTAAACCCTTGTCAGTTGCAGGGTTTGCAAATATTTTCTCCCAGTCCACACTGCTATCATTTACGTTAAGAGAATGTTTTTTGCCTACCTTCTCTGAGTTTTACTGTTGTCTTGTCTGATATTTACATTCTAAGCCAATTCGAGCTTATTTTTAAGTCTGCGGTGAGGAAGTGTTCTAACTTCACTGATACACATGCAGCTGTCCAGCTTTCCCACCCCACTTGCTGCAGACTGTCTTTAACTCACTGTATATTCCTGCCTCTCTGTTGAAGATTAATTGACCACAGGTGTATGCATTTACTTCTGGGCTCTCTATTCCTTTCTACTGATTCATGTCTGTTTTTGTGCCAATACCACTGTTTTGACTGTAGCTTTGTAGTATAGTCTAAAGTATGGGAGGGTTATGCTTCCAGCTTTGTTCTTTTCTCTCAGAATTGGTCTGGTAATTCTGAATCTTTTGTGGTTCCGTATTTTATTTCTTTGAATCACCTTCAATTTCCTTTATCAATGTTTTACAGTTCTCCATATTTAAGTTTTTTACCTCCTTGGTCAGGTTTTTTCCTGGGTATTTTATGTTATATTTTGGAGGCAATTTTAAGAGGGATTTTTTTTTTTTTTTACTTTCTCTTCCTGATATTTCAATGTTAACACAAAGAAATCTGTTAGTATAACAGGTTTCTGTATGTTACTCTTGTGTCCTCCTACCTTGCTCAATTTGTTTATCAACTCTAATAGTTGCTGTGCAGAGTTTATTTGCAATAAAAGACAGAAACTGAATTCAAACTCTGAGCTCTAACTCTAAATCCAGGGCATTTAACTAGTGGATTAAAGTGGTACTGACTGAGATTGAATTACCCATATGCAGTTTTAATCTCTCCTCAATGCAAAACTTTACATAACATGCCAACTTCTGATTTAAGAAATCAACACCAAAGATCAATTAAAAAGTCATCTACAAGAGAGTTCTAAATTTCCACATTCTGTGAGTTCACTGCAAGGCAACCCAAAATAATTTCTTTAGACACAGTCTTTAGACACAGGAGATAATTCTAGCTCTGATAGATGCAGGATGTGGTTTTTGTCTTAATAGAAATTGCTCTGGTACTTGTCACCTGTCACAACATTCCCCCTACATCCTAAAATTTCCAAAATGATCTCTAAATAAGGAACACAAGAGCTTACATTCTTGGCAGACATATTCTAATTTCCAAGTATCAACAGCAACAAAACCCAAAGCTTCTAAACAAAAGTCACGTAAAGCTTTCTACATAAAAACCTGCCTAGTACGAAATACTTCTGCCTGGTATACTATGAAATGAAATATTAGCAGATTCTAAAATTCAGAGGAAAAAAGAAAACCTGGTCAGTATCAGTACCTAATTACTCACAGAGTAATCAAGTTACCAGTTCTTAACCATACTATCATTCTTCTAAATGGCATAAATTCAGGTTTTACACTTGACCTATACATGCATATTGCAAAGCATTCTTTAAAAGAGAAAAGTCCACACTGAGGATAACATGTATTCATATTATATATATACATAATAAATTAATCGATGAATACTTTAGAACTGGACCAAGATTAGACAAAGTAAATGAAATATGCTTAAATGTATCTTTGTTTTAATTTTAAGAAGGACGCTATGTATTTGAATGCAGTATCAAGGAACAAAGTCAATAACTAAGAAAAAAATTTTAATAAATGAGCAACTGGCTCAACATGGTATGGGCAATTTTAATAATCCAATCTGCAAAGCCAGAACAGTCTTTAAAAAAAAAAACAAAAAAAACTGAACATTAGCTTCCCTTCATAATCCAGATAAGAATACTTTTTAACACATATATCTGGCTTGCTATTTGAAATAACCTAATGAGCCCATTTAATTATTCACCAGGCTGTAGTCTTAGAACACTTTTCCTTCTGCATTCTTCAAAGTGCATTTATGACTCTCCACGAGCATCAAGACTGTTTTGTCTATACTGTACTCCTTATACCGTGTATCATTCCTCTCTACTGAAAAACCAAGTAACTAAAAATTACAATAAAGTGACATCAAATAATCTGATTTCCCATTATTAGGTTTTTAAATAATACTAAAATGTTTCACTTGCCCAAACCTGCCACTACTTAAATATGGCCTATCTATCCCAACAATTCATTACTAAATAAGTCACTTTTAAATAGGAGCAATTTGAACGATCAGGTTGAGGCTCATTCTATTTTCTATCAGATTATAAAGTAGTCACATAAGGCTTATGAGTGCTAAGAAGGACCCATCTTACCTTTCTCAGTTGATACTTTTTCTATGCATCTGAAAGAAAAAAGAATCAAATGGTAAATGAATAATCTCACACATTTTCTTTACAAAGATTTATCCTTTTCAGGTTCATCTCCAGAAAGATACAGAAAACATCTAGAGCAGTACTGTCCAGTAGAACTTTCTGCAATGACAAAAAATATTCTACATCTGTACTGTCCAACATGGCAGTCCCCATGTGGTTCCTGAGTGAGTGAAATAGTTATGTAGTTGAGGACTGAATTTTCAGTTTTGATTAATATAATTTAAATAGCCACAAGTAGCTATCATATTTGACAGCACACAGCTAGAATATCATTCATAATAGTTGTTTTTAACTGTAAAAAAAATATCGATACAAAGAAACTACTGCTAATTTTGTTGTATTAAATGGTCATAGAAGAAAAATGTCTTCATTTTACACAGATGCAGTAACTAGTGGTGCGATGAAATATTTGAGATGTCTTCTAAAATACTTCTGTCAAAAGAATCAGGGGGAAGAAGCATAAAGGTAGGAAGAATGGCAAAATACTGATAACTGTTAAATCTAGGTGATAAATACTGAGGATTGATTATTATCTCTACTTTGGATATATTTGACAATTCTCATAATAAAAATTCAACGAACCTAAAAATAAAGTCCTAAAATTATTCATTTGTTAAAGTCAAAATCTATTTCTAAAATGGCAGAAGACTGGACCTAGAAATAAATGTAATTTGAACTTTACAAATTAGATAGGAAGAGTAGAGAGTCTAATGTGCAATAAACTGGCAGTTAAAAAAATGTCATTCACATGTTTTTAATTCGGGGAAATTTCTATCAAACGTTAACCGCTGAGTACAGTATAATGACTCTCCTCTATGGCCCTTACCCAAATTCAGAGTTTACCTGTCTGGGATCTTTCCCAAGATGCCAAACAGCATCTCTGAGCAGTATAAAGTTTTCTCCTTTTTTTTTCTTTTTTGAAAATAAACCTAATACAAATGAAGACTCTTATGTTACAAAGAATATCCAAACAGATACTGAAGCCACAGCATAATACAAATTCTGTTATCTTTAGAGAGACTAGATATCATCTTCTCATCTCATTCATTTTTTTAAAAGCTTGGTATTATCATTTATTATATTTTTAATGTCCCAATTAACAACTAACACAAGAACACTGCTCATCATCCTAGCTCTAAATGAAAAGTCCATAAATCACTGTTAGATGTTGAAACACTATGCAATGAACTTTCTGAAAGCCTACAGGAATGGTTCAGTGTTTTCTTTACCAAGATCACCGCAAAAGGAAAACTCAGGATTTCGGGCTTGTACAATTGAAGCCTTCTCTAAAGAGCCACAGAATCCAGAATTTTTCCCACTTCGGACTATTACTGCCTCTTCATTCTCACTATCATGACCATCACTTTCTCCTTATAAAAAGAAAGTGTGAAGCAAAGGCTTACTACCATTTTACTTTCTGCAAGAAAACAAACCCCAAATGGAATTCCATATACTGGAAAACAGTGCAGTATTTGTTTCATTTGTAACCCATCTGAACCTGTAGGTTTACCACTAAGAATACTGTTTTAGCCTATATTCCTATATTCCTTATGGTGAGGAAAGAAGAGCTTTTCTCAACAGCTAACTGAGAAATTTTTTAAAAAATAAGTATTAAATTTTGAAATGCATCAGATAATCAAAGAACTTCGTATCACACAGTAGGAAGAAGATAAGTCTTCTGCATTTAAAGTAATCTTATTTTAACAGTTATAGTGTTACCCTATTAGTAGAGAATGGATGTTTTAACTTCTAAACCAGAATAAGCTGGAGTGTGTGTGTGTATACACAGATACCTGTATATACCCATACATAGATAGTTATACATTTTTAAGTTAGATGAGGGTATAAACATCTGCATTTGAAGCATAAGAAACTTAACTCTGGAATTTATTGGCTAAAATACAGCAAATAAAGAGCCTAATTCTTAGTACTAATATATAACCTTTCTTCAGATTTGGTTTATCTTTCCTTACTATTAGCTTTTAAGCTTTTAATTTAAAATGATTATAGATTTAACTTAATGCCTTTTGCTTGAACACATTCACTGAAAAATTCTTTTTATTCTCCTTCACAAAGAGTTCCTATTCTTTTCATTAATTTCTGAGTATGTTAATGCAAACAGAAAAACTGTTATAAGATTAGGAAAGTTTATAAAAACAGTAATTGTCATTAACTGTAAAGCTCATTCCACAAATCATAAATTATCAGCTAAAGATGAAGAAGCATATTCAAGGAGGTTAAGTGACTTGCCCAAGTTCACTTAGTAAGCAGTAAAAAGCAATGCTTTTTTCTATTTTGCCTTGTAAGAGGAAGAGATTACAATCAACCCAAGTCTATTTACTGACACTTGAAGCTACTGTACAAGTCACTTTGCTGTTTCCTTGATCAAGAGAAACAAAAGTAGGTTAAACAGTTGATTACTGGGAATTTATTGGGAGAAATGTTATTTGGAAACAGAGCTCAATGAAGGTCAGAAGGCACTTGACCAGGGTTCAATGATCAGACATTTCAAAACCTGAAATGTCTTAAAGGGTAAAGTTTCTCAATTTTTAAAATTTATCGCTCTGAAAAATCTGTAAACCGTGCATACATCTGACAAACCTCCACTACTCAATGCATCTTCCCCCTTTACTGAAATCCATGTCTACTTTTCTTTATAAATCCTGGCTCAGCACACTACCAGACCCAATTATTTGCTTAATCAAGGTTTACTGAGCTGAAATGCTTTAGGAGGTTCTTCAATTTCTAGAGTATGTAGTAAATTGAAAACGTGTAACAAAAAAATTATTAAAGTGACAATTTATCAAACAATCTAATCAAAAGTGCATAATTTAAAACATACAGTTAAGAAATAGTTCTGAGGCTAAAAGAACACTACAATCTTTTATGATACTGGATGTGAGAGAGAGGGACTTTTAGGAATTAAGACTTTTCTTTCCTCCCCACAAGGAACACTGGGGAGAAAGACTTAAAGGATTTAATTAAATCATTCTTATCCAAGTTCAACTGCTATAACATTTACATTGTGGAAATAAAGACTCAATACTTTTTTGACAGAAGTTAGGGAACATAATAAACCATGAGAGCTGGTAAAACTAACACTTAAGAGATTTTCTCTAAGTAAAACTGATCAATCACTGGGACGGAAACGTGCTAAGGAGATATAGCTATATATAACTTTCAAATGAATAGGTGAAAATGGAAGGAAATTTTAAAAAATTAAGTTATTAACCTTCCTGTGTATGGTTACAGAAAAAATTAAAAATCCAATTCGGCAGAATTTACATGAAAAACCCCACTACACAGTAGTTATCCCTCTACTGTGTACAGCACATAACTACACTACTGTACACTATATACACTATGTATTATATACTATACTCTATACTACTACGTAACTATATGTCGTGGATAGAGGTATATAATAGGTAGCATATCACTGCTCAAAACAAAAACTTTCAATATTTTCTACGTATCATGCTTTGTATGAAGTGCTCCACTTAAGTCTCAGAAACTCATCTCATTGAGCTTAACATTATCTTCTACAGATAATAAAACTGAGGCACAAGCTGTTTAACTCGTCCAAGGAATTTATATCCAACTGAGACCAACGACCTACCTTTTCAAATTTATGACAGTAAATACTGTTTAAATTTTTTGTCTGACATTCATTTACAGCAATTATTAATTGAATCCTAACTGCAGCTCAATCATTTATAAGTACAGATTTTTGTTGTCCACAGAAATTTAATTTACACAATTCTCTAAGTTATGTTAATTGGTGAAAGTCGCTCAACTGTCCGACTCTTTGCAACCCCATGGACTGTAGCCCACCAGGCTCCTCTGTCCATGGGATTTCCCAGGCAAGAATACCGGAGTGGGTTGCCATTTCCTTCTCCACTTTACCAGCGGAGACACATGTTAATCAAATAACATCCAATAATTTGAAAGCACATCTAAAACACAATATACCTTCGAATGTTCTTTCTTTCTGAGAGTGTTCCAAGACATGTATGCCAAGGTCACAGACTTCACTCTTAATTTTGGAATAGGTGTGTTTCAAATTTTAAATTGACCAAGCCTGTGTAAGCCAAATATTGTCAGGATCTCTATTGGGGAGGTAGGGTGACGGCGGCGGCCACGGGCATTTAAAACTGATTTCTCCCCGCACCTTCAATTTTTCCTGCTTTTACTAAGCTTTTTTTTTTTTTTCACTTGAAAATCAAAAAGACACAAAACTCTTCAACGAATTCCTTGGCTAACGCGCTTCATTTCTACAATTCACAAACACGTGTAGGCACAGAAACATTTTAATGAACTTAAAAAATATAGAGATTCTTGGTCATCTTGGTTCCTCTATGACCTCTCGGGGATGAAAGAATTCCTTTCATATTATTCAAAATTTTAAGGACGAAGTCCCTGTATTAAAACATATCCAAAACACACACTTGTGTGTGCCTCAGTTTTATTATCTATAGGAGATAATGTTAAGCTCAATGAGATGAGTTTGTGAGACTTAAGTGCAGCACTTATACAAAGCATGATACATAGGAATAAAGAAAGTTCTTGTTTTTGACACTCGTCAAAAAAAAAAAAATACCGCATTTCAGAGCCTACACTTGAAATTGGCAAGCCACGTTTTTATCCTACTAATGTTCTTTTTCAAAAAACGAGTGAAAAATAATGTGAAAATTTAGTACGTTTGAAAAAAAAAAAACCCGAACAAACTGCATAACGATCCTAGTACAACTGAGGTTGATCACGAGGGAAGGATGGGGGAACGACCTCATCCTACGCGCTGAGATCGAAGCCCTCGCCGCCGGTTTCCCAACGGGGACGCGCCGTAACAGCGGAGGCCGCCGCGCGGGGGAAGGGGCCGGNCCCGGCATCGGGACGCGTCCGCCCCCCCACCCCCTGGTCCCGGCGGCGGAGGCGGCGGCGGCGGCGGCCGCGGCGCTGCTCCCCCCGCCCCCCGGAGCGGCCGGCTCACTCACTCTGCGCGCCTCTCTCCCCCCTCCCCTCCGCCCGGCTCCGAGGGCGCCCCCCCCGCCCCCTGCCACTCAAGGGCCGGTACCGCTGGCGGCGCGCGCGCGCGCCCGCCACAGGCGCGCAGCGGGCCAATCAGTGGGAAGGAGCGGCTCCTTGGCCCCGCCCCTCGCGGGCTTTCACGTCGCGGCGTCCTGGGCTTCCGCCCACCCCCACCCCGGCCTTCCACCAATCAGGAAACGGCTCCAAGGGAGCGCGCGAGGTTTCCTTCCCCGCGCACCCGTTCTCACCGTTAAACGGCTGCGTCTCGCGACAATCCCAAAGTGACCTTTTTTTTCCCCCCCACCTCCGGAGCTCAACTCGCGCCCGGGGCAGTGGGAGGGGCAGGCCTCGGGAGGGGGCGGGTAGGAAACGCTCCTCCTTCCCCGCCTCGCGCGCACCCTGGGCTGGCTGCGCGCGCACCTGCCGCCCTAAGGAGCCGCTAAAGCCACAAGGGCTTTCTATCCTTCTCCCTTAAGCAGCGGAGGGAGCCTCGGCGTCCTTCCGCCTCCACCCCGGCCCCACTTTCCTGTCTGTGGCCTTTCTGTCCCCTCGCCGCGAGGTCTTGCGGGGAAGAAGGGGGGAAATTTTTTTTTTTTGAGCTGTCGCTTCTCCTTTAAGAAAAAAAGCCCCGTCGGCCGCCGGATGAAAGTCTCTGAAAAAATGGCGGCGGTGGAACAGAGGCGGGGTCGTGAGGTCAAGGAAGACCCGCCTTCTGGCGCATGCGCGTAGTCGGCTCGCCTCGAGGCATCCTGGGAAGTGAAGTTCCGCTTCCCCCTGAGCCTTCGGAAGACAGATGGGAACCCCGAGGCGGAGAGGATGCTGGGAGGCTTTTACTGTTGCGCGCTGGGAGAGGTAGTCGACTGTCCTGTCAGTTCGAATTAGCTCTTCCGGGAGGCGGCGTTTCCGGGTTGGGCCTGGGCGCCCGCCCGCATCCGGGTACGCCTACCGAGCCAGTCGCTGGTTGGAGTCGCCTAGCGGAGTTTCCCGTCACTTTTCGCTTGGTGTTGGCGAACCATGTCAGGGTGCCACGCAGTAGCCCTCACCTCTGGTTAGACTGCGCCGCCGCGGGGACCGGCTAGCGTTCACATACATCTCCTGCATTATCCCGTCTTCTCTGCGCGTCTGGAGGTCAGGGGTTGACTTTGGTGCCGTCGGCTCTTAGTGGGTTTGGCACAATTCCTGCCTCTCATCTGATGCTTAATAAAAGTTTGTGGAAAGACTTGTGGAATTGCTTTTTTCCCCCTGGATATCAGGGCTGAGGACTGGCACCGCTGCTTAGGCTTGGCCGCGCCCCCTGGGTTGGAAGGAAGGGTGGTGAAGCACTGTTAGCGTGACTTTGTGACCTCCCCAGATAACTGAAGGCTCCACACCACCACCATCACCAGCACCACCTCCCGCCACTCCCCACCCCGAAACCATCTGCTTCTGTGGTTTTAAAATGTCGGTGCTACACAGGAAGCACGGTCAGAACAGCAGCTTTGTCAGAATTTCTTTTTCCACCAGCGTGTGCAACTGAATGACTCTAATGCATCTAACGGGAGTTTACGTTTGCTTATCTCCAAGTCGCCTTTGGTGATGGCTCTGAGCTTTTTGCATTGCTTACCCGCCCCCCCCCCCTTTTTTTTCCTTTCCTCTATTATAATTAAAGAGCGATCTGCAGGAATGCTTCTCAGTTCCGGAAACGAAAGCACCCAGGGTTTAAAGTCTCCAAAGTGAGTGGATGGAAACAAGCTCGCAGAATCCAATTCTGCATTTCACATGAATCATTTAGTTAAAGTGCAGATGGAGCCCAATATTTTGCAAGCCAAGTGCTGAAGAGCCTTTTTCCTTCTAGTGTTTTGGCTTAGTTACCACTTCAGATTGGGCAAATGTTCATCTTCTCTGTGGAGTGTTTTGCACTTTGATGGGGCTAAAGGCATTTCAGTTGTAAAAACTGGCATAGTATGGGTGGGGGTTTTTCAAAGCTGTGTTTGCTGTGAGCAGACTTTTGGAATGACGCTGACATCCAATGGCTGCAAAAAGTAATGCAGAGGTAGGATCTCCTTTACGTTAAAAAAGAAAAAAAGTTTAAAAGTCACAAAGGAATGAAGAATGAGTGATTCCTTTCAGTTAACCTTTAAAAAAAACACTGGGTTGTAGAGGAAAGAATACAGGCTTTGACATTAAGTCTGTATTATATGTATTATAGTAAGTAGCAAAGCTACCTACTAATTCTGTTAACTTTAGCAAATTTCTATTTCACTACTGGTAAAAATGGGAATAATATCTATTTCACAAGACCATAGTTTTAGTTCTTTATGTACTGCCACCTTATAGCAGACCTTTTGAAATTGCTTTATTTTAATCGAGGTGAATAAAATCCCAGGAGCCAAAAAACCGAAAAGTTGACCCCAGGGTCACTTTTGAGAGAAATGAAGGCCATGTAACTAGACAGCAAGTGTGCATGATGGAAACATCTGCCGTTAGAGTCTGGTGTCAAATCTTCCAGTTTCATTCTTCATGACACCTCTGTATGATTGCATTTTAAACCACTGAAATAAACCTGGCCCGAGAATCCAGCTGTAAGCCTGGTCCAGAGAATCCTGTTCTGGCTTTAATAGCTTAATGATCTATTTAGAAAAGCAAGTAAGCATAATTTCTGGATAATTGGGTAAATAAAGACAGCAAAATGAATTGAGTGCTAGTTAACTCTGATGGAAATTTTATGAAGGAGATAATGCTTCCATGGTCTCACAGAAAAAAAAAATCTGAATCTTTCACGCAGTCACAGCAGGCTACCCTACCCACTCTGGGGAAAAAAACACAAATGCAAATCTGCCATTCCCATGAATTCAAGATAAATCCAGGTGCATAGTAGGTTCTCAAATTTTTCAAAGTTAATTTTGCTTCTTTATTACCTTGGCCAGTGCACAACCGGAACTCAAATCCAACAACCCATCTTTCTGTGTCTCATTTTTTAAAACTCTGACTTAAAAAAAAGAAGAAAAAACTCATCAAAAGAGAGGAAGTGCTAAGCAAATACAGGAACCAAAAAGGGTTATAGAGGCTGCTTCACACTGGCTCATTCAGTTCCTTTGCGGTCCTCTTCTCAGCATATGCCAACGCAGTGCTCTGCGACCTGTGTGTGGCACCAGGGCATCTTGGGTGTGAGACAATGGAAGAACTGGGTGAGTGAGGAGCTCCTTGGAGGAGCAACTCAGAAGGGATTGAAGACTTGGCTGTCATCTCCATGTGTGGTGGGGTGTACTTCTAGCCAGATGGAGTATAGTGTTGGAAGATTTTATTTTCACTGCTTTCCTGACCTCAGGCCAACCAAGAATGAAGCATGAGGAACTATGTTATTTTGGGGAACTACGGGTTCGCTGTTTTTAGAGGCACAATAGGCAAAGAATTTGGTACTAACCACAGAGTAAACTCTGCACAAATACTTTTGAACTGAATTGTGCTTGAAATTGTGATTTTGTGAGGAGCGTTTTTGCTCCTTGGGGGGCTGTGAGGAGATCATAGGGGGGTCAGAGTTGGTAAGTTCAGAGATGTGATTTGGGGAGGAAAAGAAATAGGGGGGATTGGTTAAAGGGTGTTACGAGGAGAAGAAATGGACTAGAAGTATGAGAATGAGGGATCCGCAAAGGGTGGAGAAAGGCCAGAGTGTTTCATTTGTTCCATCGCCGAGTATTAAATCAAGAAGACACAGCACTGTCACTCCAGTGCTTTCATTGCTAAGCTTTTTACTGAGAGCAGCTCTGAAGGAACAGATAACCATGGCCTGCACATATGATACGTCCTTCCACTCCAAAGCAACTGAAACCAGCGCTGAAGCTGTGGGCCACATTGCTTAGAGAAAGCCCTGATTTCAAACCTTGGGCGTGCCGTTCTTGGGCCTCATATCCTTTGCCAATTTTTGTTGCCATCGTGCTTATGAACACTGAGTCACTAAACTTTACCCAGTGTTCAAGCTGTATAATTCCGTGGTGTCTTGGGTGGTTGTGTGTCAAAAGTGCAAGTGGCAGGAACAAAAAAAAATCTCGCTATATTGTCTTTTTTTTAAAACGTGTTTTGAGAGCTAGAGGAGGAGAGGAAGGAAGAAAGGCAAGTTACCGAAGGGAAGAGGTGTTCATGGAGAGGAAAAGGGTGTTTAATATTCAAATGTGAACTGCTTTGGAAGTAAAGTCTATTTTAATATGTGGACTATAATATATTTTGAATGTGGGGTAGAATCCCAATTCTTATCTTGTGTGAGGGTTGGCGAGATTCACGTTTTTGGCTGAGTTCCACCTGAATCCAGCTCTGCTTTTTTAGGGATACATCATGGCTTTCATGGAGAAGAAAATGGGAACCCACTCCAGGATTCTTGCCTGGAGAATCCCATGGACAGAGGAGCCTGGCAGGCTATGGTCCATGGGGTCACGAGAGTCAGACATGATGGAGCGACTAAAGAGAGAGAGAGAGATGGCTTTCAATGTAGTCATTGGAAAGGGAACTAATCCTTATTCAGTGACTTAAGCTGAAACTATACATTTTTATATGTTAATCATTTTAGTGTTCCAAACAACCCTCGGAAATAGGTATTATCCACTTCTTTTTTTTTCAAATAAGGAATCAAAAAAACAAAATAACTTGTTCAGCGTCCCTCATAGGAACACCTGACTAAATGACTAAACCAAAACCTGATTAAATGACAAGGTGTTCTCCTTTTAGAAGTCTGTTGGCCCTGGTGTTCCAGCCAATAGGACAACCCAGATAATTAAAAGATTAAAACAAATAGATTGGCACAGTTTTACATTTCCTCAGCAGGATGAATGGCGGAGAAATTTGGTCCAGAAATACAGAAACTACCGAGTGGCCTGGAAGGTAACATCCATTCATGTGTGTTATTCAGGTGGCCGAACCTCATCAGGCTGTTAATAACTGCACCTCAGTCACTTTCAGATTGTCGTCAGCTCAATATCCACCTGAAAGACTCAGGGTGGCTCTGTCTTCTGCAATGTGGGGAAATAGTGGGGAGGACAAGTCAGCCCAGTGGGCCAGTATTTCCTCTTGGCAGTACTGCCTCCAAGGTGGGTAGTTTATGTCCACTCAGGAAGTCTCACCCAAACCCTCATTATGGGAGGATGCTACATAAGGGGGAACCAGGAGCAAACTGTGGCTCTGAATGAACTCATTACAATCCAGTGAGACCCTCAAGAGACCTCCCTTAATTCTTTTCCTGTGAATGTTGACATTGTTTGATTTCCTCAGACAAAGGGCTATAAAAATGGATGGTAGAGTTTTCAGTCTTAATACCCCAAACCCTGCACCAGTAATCCCATATTTGTCATACTGAAATTCAGTTCAGTTCAGCTCAGTTCAGTTGCTCAGTCGTGTCCGACTCTCTGTGACCCCATTGACTGCAGCACGCCAGGCCTTCCTGAGTTTACTCAAACTCATGTCCATTGAGTCGGTGATGTCATCCAACCATCTCATCCTCTGAAATTAGTCATCTTCAGATTACAGAATCTGACCAAAAGGGAAGATAATCTCAGAGTGCTGGTGATATGTATATGCATAGGAAACAGGAAGAGAAAGGCCTGTTAACTCATGACCCAGAAAGGAGTTTTAGAAACTCTGGTTAGCTGGTGCTGGTAAGGGTAACCTTCTACCTTTAGTGATATGGTTTGCTTCTCTTGTAGAGGGTCTTCCCTCTCCCCTCATCTTTATTGTAAATGCCTTTTTATTTTGAATCCAAGAGGAACCATGACTTCTGTTTGGAGCAAAGCTTAGGAAAAAGGAAAGAAAGAAATTGTATCTTAATAGAGGGCTACAGAATAAAGATATGGAACACAGAAATTTGGCATTCGGTCTGAGAGAAAAAGTTTTATTTTCTAATTCTACCCTTTTATTATAGAGAATTTTAAAATTTCCAAGAGGAAAAAAAAATGCTTAAAGAAATCTGATGTACCCCTGAGTCACCTTAAACAGTTAACAACTCTTGGTCAATCTTATTTCATTGGTACATCCACCCATTCTTTCTAGTCCTAGATTATTTTAAGGCAATTTCAGGCATTGTATGATTTCATCTATATATATATATATATATATATACATATATAATTATACAAGTAACCATATCATCATATCCATAAAATTTTTAATCATAATTCCTTAATGTCATGAAATACCATTATCACACCTAAAATACTAACAGAAACTACAATATTATCTATGGTGTTGGAGAAGACTCTTGAGAGTCCCTTGGACTGCAAGGAGATCCAACCAGTCCATCCTAAAGGAGATCAGCCCTGGGTGTTCATTGGAAGGACTGATGCTGAAGCTGAAACTCCAATACTTTGGCCACCTCATGTGAAGAGTTGACTCATTGGAAAAGACCCTGATGCTGGGAGGGATTGGGGGCAGGAGGAGAAGGGGATGACAGAGGATGAGATGGCTGGATGGCATCACGGACTTGATGGGCATGAGTTTGAGTAAGCTCCAGGAGTTGGTGATGGAGAGGGAGGCCTGGCGTGCTGCTATTCATGGGGTCGCAAAGAGTCGGGCATGACTGAGCGACTGAACTGAACTGACTGACTGACAATATTATCAAATATCCTTGTCAAACCTGGACTACATTAACCGTGCTTACTACTTATTGAATTTTCAATCACTGTTCACTATTTCTAATTCTTTCTTTTTTGATGGTTCTTGCATGTTTATTTAAAGTTCATTCACTGAATCAGTTATAAATCTCTTGAATCTTTTTAACCTCTTGGTCCCCCTCTGTCTCTTCTTTTCCACTAAAGCTTATTTGTTGAAGGATCATTAGACCTGAAGAGTTTAGCTCAGTTTGTTTATCTCCAAAATGGTCCATACAATTCAATGTATTTGTGAGATGGATGCTTGAGAAAGAGCTGTAGAAGATTTCATTTGTAAAAAATGATCAGATCTTTTCTTACGCCATTAAGAAATACCCATCCCCCAACATCAGAAATTTAAATTCATTTTTTAATGACTTGTAAAGTTCATTTTCCTCATCTGAAGACTTTAGAGCTAGGCAGAGCCTTAGGAATAATATAATCCAGTGTTTCGTAAAGTTTAAAACACTACAGTCTCTGGTAAGAAATTCACAGGAGTTTCACCCCTGGGTGTGAATCTGCAATTTAAAAAATACTCTTATGATAGAATTGCTTCATTAATGTGGATGAGAAAACAGTCTCAGAGAAGCACGTGTCCTGCAAAGATGACCCAGAGAATCTGCATGGGAAAGAGGTCTGGCATTTCTGGCCTGCAGGCGTCAGGGATCAGATAGTTCAGGATCAGCCGGGTTCTGCGTTCAGTAGACGGAGTGCTTAGTCGCTCCGTTGCGTCTGACCCTTTGCAACCCTGTGCACTCTCGCCCACCAGACTCCTCTGTCCATGGGATTCTCCAGGCGAGAATCCTGGCCCGGGTTGCCATTTCCCACTCCAGGGGATCTCCCCGATTCAGGGACTGAAGCTACATATCCTGCATCTCCTGCATTGGAGACATCAGCTGGCACCCAGTAGCAGGGTGACCTTAAATAAGATATTTTTCTCTTTCTTAATCTACAAAATAAGGACAATACTTTCACTTGACTCAAAGTATTAGGATGACTAATATATAAATATATAACTATTATATATCATTTATTGTATTAATATTATATTTAATTTATATTTATAAATAATATAAATAAATATATTTCCTGTGTTAATTTTATTAATTATCAATATTAATTTCCTGAAAACAGAAAGTTGATGGTGAAATACTCATACAAGAAAGTCCGTTGGTTTCTCCTAAGAAAACTACAAGAGAAACAGATTTCAACTGTTTGGACTGTAGCATCTTGTTCAATTTTGCAGTATATTTCCAATCAATCCATTTTTCTCCCCATACTCCCCACAATACCTTGAGAATTTTGTTACATGCTGGGGATATAAGGAAAAAAAAAATATTAGGATTAAGAATCAATTTTACTATACTGGTTGGTATGTTTGGGAAAACTGTAAAATAATTGCTCATATTTTTCTGATAGGAAAATATGTAGCATTTATGCCAAGAGTCTATTATACAGAGCAAAGTAAGTCAGAAAGAGAAAGATAGACGTCAAATATTAACACACATATACGGAAAGATGGTACTGATGAGCCTGTTTGCAGGGCAGCAGGAGACGCAGACACAGAACATAGTGTGGACACAGAGGGGGGTGGGGACACTGGGAAAAGCTGAGTGGCATTGAAACGTATACATTACCATAGGTAAAATCAGATGGCCAGTGTATGACACAGGGAGCTCAAACCCACCGCTCTGTGACAACCTAGCGGGGTGGGATGGGGAGGGAGGTGGGAAGGAGGTTCAAGACGGGGGACATACGTATACTATGGCTGATTCATGTTACTATATGGCAGAAACCAACACAGTATTGTAAAGCGATTATCCTCCAATTAAAAATAAATAATTTAAAATATATTTTAACATTTATCTTTTAAATTATTTATTTGCTTATTTCCTTGGCTGTGCCAAGTCTTAGTTGCGGCACGTGGAATCTTTGATCTTCAATGCGACCTGTGGGATCTAGTTCCCTGACCAGGGGTTGAAACCAGGCCCCCTGCATTGGGAGTGCAGAGTCCTAGCCACTGGGCCCCCAGGGACATCCCCATTTACATTTCTCTAATTGGAGATCTTCGTGGGTGATCCACTCTCAATGATAAAAATGAATACGGGGCAATACAGAAAGTCAAACTATAGAGTGAGACTGTGCGATTGAACGCAGCTGTGGGAAATAAGAAATAGGCCACAGTATACAGAGGGCATTAAACATCTCCTGGTAAAATAGACTGTATTCTTGAAGTCAAATAAGGAGTAAGGGAGGATGTTTGAATTTAGACTTAACTGTTAACCTAAGAGAAGAGGGAGATGAATGCAGCACAATGGGGATACTCAAGAGGATAATTATTCTAGAAGATGCACATAGTGCATATCATGATTCCCTTGTATCTTTTGATATAGATGCCTTGTTGGAGGAACTGGAACATTCTACCTTCCAGGAAAGTGATGACTACTCCAAGGCAGCTTCCCCTCCCTTGGATCAGCATTCCAGAAAGGAGAGTAACCTTGCTGAGACTTCAAAGGTCCCTTCCATTCCTGATGACACGAATCCCTTTCCGGTAACTTTTCATTTATTGAAGTACCTTGGGTATACATATTTGAGTGCATTTCTGAAAAGTAATTGTATCTCAAATAAAATTATGCAAAGGGAGAATCACATATCCAAGAGAGAGAAAAAAATTCCTCCTTAAAAATTAAATCTTTTTAAAAAAATGATAAAGGTGGTTGTTTTTAGAAAGAGGAGGAGCACTGAGAAAAGCATCATAGAAGAATAAATCTTTGGAAACTTTTTTTCTTATGAGGGCCTGGAGCTGGCAGAATATTCTGTAATTCATTTGGGATATTCTGATATCACCACCTGGGTATCAGACATGCATGTTACAGTTTGATTGGAATGTCACTCAATAAGGCCAGAGATCACCTGGGCAAGGCCAAGTGACAGTTTACCTAAATCTTCTCAGGATGACTTTTTTTAGGGTCATCACTTTCCAGCTCTTATTTTCTGCTGAATATATTAGGATATTCAATTATTAGTATATCCAGAGGCGAGGAAACTCTAGGGAACCAACACAAGAAAACTACACTCAGGAAAGATTAGGAATTAACCTCCCCCTCCCGAAATCCAATTTATCAACTTGTGGTTAGAATTTAAACTGTCAAGTAGAACAGATACGAATAACATTTGCTGATATATGTATTCCTTTACTGTGGATAAGTCTACATACATCTACTTTATAATTAGAAGCTTACTTGGTGAGAATGGATTAGCATAGGAGGAATTAAGATGATGCTCTTCATATCTGGTGTTTCTGAACGATGATTTGTTTTCTTTTTGGCCACACTGTTCTGCATGTGGGATCTTAGTTCCCCGACCAGGGATCGAACCTGTGTGTCCCTCATTGGGAGCGCAGAATCTTTACCGCTGCACCACAAGGAAGTCCCTGAACTGTGGTATTCTGACTCATCCTTGTACTCTATGTGAAATCACCAGTAGCACAGACCTGAAGTCTGAGCCTGTGGGAAGGCTTCCTCGTGAACTGTTCTTCCTTCCAGCTGCACTTGTTCAATTTTCAGGACACACATTTCTCTTTACTAGGGAGCCACTGTCTTTGTTCCAGCTCTGAGGTATGGCAATAGACTCCTAACTGATCCCCTAACCTGACTCCCTGCAATTTATCCTCCAACTTGCAGTCGGGATAATCCTGTAAAACTTGAATCAGATCACCTCACTCTTCTACTCAGAACCCGGCGATGAATTCTCATCTCATTTGTAGTAAAAAGCCACAGTCTTTACACTGACCTTATTTATGGGCTGATCATATGTCTTGGTTCACTTGGAAGAACCTGGGTTTTTGCTTATTTTCTTGACATCCTACTATTGACTTTACCTTTTACCCCAGATTTTCCATTGTGTGAAATTTTTAAAATTAGTATCGGCTTTAAAGTAAACCAGCATGGATTATAAACCTTCACTTGGTTCTTCTGGCTTCTCTCACAGTCTCATGTGATAGTACATGAAACATGTTCGGTGAACAGAGTTCTTACTTTATTCTTGCTGTTGTTCAGTCACTCAGTTGTGTCTGACTCTTTGCACACCNGTCACCATACACAGTGATTTTGGAGCCCAAGAAAACAAAATCTGTCACTGTTTCCACTTTTTTCCCATCTATTTGCCATGAAATGATGGGACTGGATGACATGATCTTCGTTTTTTGGATGTTCAGTTTTAATTATAGCTGGATCTAATAGATGTGATTTAGTCGCTAAGGCATGATTGACTCTTGGCGACCCCATGGACTATAGCCCGCCGGGCTCCTTTGTCCATGGGATTCTCCAGGCAAGAATCCTGGAGTGGGTTGCCATCTCCTCCTCCAGGGGATCTTTGCCACCCAGGGATCGAGCCTCGGTCTCCTGCATTGTAGGTGAATTCTTTGCCAGCTGAACTATGAGGGAAGTCTAGGATCTAAGAGATGACTAATGACAGTTACTAGTCTCTCATTTCCTGATGCTGTTAAGACAAAATCTAACTGGCAGCACCCTTTGAAGGGTGATTCTCAGGGTGCTGGCTGTCATAGCTAGAGCTGAAGCCCCACAGTCAGTGGCAGCTGACTCCTCTGGTTTTGAGTGGTGGCAAGAAAAATGATGAGGTATTTTTTCCCCTGCTGGCCACTTGTTATAGCACCGCTAGTGCCCTGCTGTGGTCGTGAGATGGCCTGTGAAATGCAGAGAGTCTCCTCGGGGTCAGAGAGAAATACGGGAAACTGTGGCTTAAAGTCACACACATCTTGCTTAAGAAATCGAGGCTGAGCGCTCTTGCCATAGGGTACAGTGTGATCGAAATGTTCTTGTTAAAGCAGTTTTGTCACTGATTGTATATTAAAGATGTTAGTTTTATTATTTGATAATGCTTTTAAATTGTGTAATGAACACTTCCAGCAGCATTTGGCTCAAGTCCAAACTGAAACCAAAACTACTCGTTTAACTGTCTCCAAAAGTTGATGTCTGGGGCTCCTATGGTGGTCCAGTGGTTAAACGTCTGCCCCCTAAGTGGGATCTGTTTATGCTAATAGTGACTTTCGGAGTAGATCTTGATGCTTCTTTATAATATTTGTGTCTTCTGGTTTTCGAACTGACAATGATATTTCTACTCCCCCCCATGTTGGATGGTAAATATTAACAAAGTTGAACAAATACTTTGTGCAGAATACACACCCATCATCATCTCTTCTTTTTAAAAAATCTTTATTATTTATTTACTGGTTGTGCTGGGTCTTCATTGCTGTGTGTTGGTTTTTCTCTAGTTTCGGCGAGCTTTCTCTCGTCAAGGAACATGGGCTGTAGGGAGTGCAGGCTTCAAGAGTTGGGGCAACTGGGCTCAGTATTTGTGGTGAACAGGCTTAGCTGCCCTGAGACATGTGGGGTCTCCCCAGACCAAGGATTGAACCCGTGTTCCCTGCTTGGCAGACAGGGAACCTTAACCACTGGATCACCAGGGGAGTCCCGATCATCAGCTTTCTTGTGACAATGAAATGTGTAGTTTTGGTTTTGAAAAGTTAATACTTAAGAAGAATGTGCCAGATGACAATTCAATATGTGAAGCTGCAGGAAGTGTGATTACACACCATTGTGATACACACCATCCATACAGATCAAATGACTCTCAATTTATTTTGCTCATTTTCAATTCTAAGTTTTCTTGGGCTTGTAACTAAAGTGAACTAGTGATAATTAATTGACTCCTTTTGCAAGCCACCAGATAATGTCAAATTAAATCAGTTAGAGGCCTCAATTAGAAACTTTAGTTCCAAATTGGTTTAATTGTTAAAGCTCATTCAAAGGACCACAGAAAAGTACTCAGAAATTTATTCTTCTGTCTAAAATGAAACATCTGATATTGCTAATGCCCTCATAAATTTAGTTGAAAAGTTCAACAATGGAGACCAATGTTGTTTGAGGGGGTGATAATACTAATACAAATTTTGATGGAGCACAGCCTAATGGTAAAATCAATGTTTGTTTGTTTGTTTTTTTCATACTTAAAAGCCTGTGGAGCAGATAGGTAGTTGGAACCGGTCGTGATGTTCACAAAATTCATGACTGCATCCGAATAAGCTTCGGTATTCTACCAATCAGTATAGAAACTGCGGTTGTTAAAATTTAAAGTCTTTATATATTTACACACAATCAGCAGAGAAGGAAATGGCAACCCAGTATTCTTGCCTTAGAAATCCCAAGGACAGAAGAGCCTAGGGAGCTACAGTCCGTGGGGTCACAAAGAGTCAGACATGCCTGAGCGACTTACACGTGCACACACACACAGTCAGGGTGTGTGTGTGTGTGTGTGTGTGTGTGTGTGTGTGTGTATAGCTCAACTCAAAAACTTCTGTGACAGAAGCTGTTGTTGAATCTAAAAATATATATTAGCATGGCTGTATATATTTTCTCTATTCATTGCCTGCCATCAACTGGGTTTTAAAGAAATGTCTGAGCCTTTGAAAAGTCACTTTGTCAAACAACCTCAGTGTAGGCCAGGTTATGGGCAAAATCAGTTGGAAATATTTAATCAGATTATTTAATGAATGTAGCATGAAAATTCAGCTTTTGAAGTTTTTTAACAAGTTGCAATTATGTGCAACAAAGTTTGCAAAAAGGAAGTAGCTCAGATTTCTCCTTACAAAAACCTGGGAGGAAATGAACCAATCAATAGATGAGCGCTCAGATATTTAATGACCTCACTGGAAAATCGTGTTTTGGAAACATCTGAACTTTGATGGGCCTCCTGATTTTACTTGAATAAATTTATATTCCCATCAGAATGGGATGAAATTATGAAGGCCTATGATTTTGCAGTATCTACATGTGATGAAATGTTAGAAGGCATCATTTAAGAGCTCTGTCTTGTAAAAATACCAAAGAAAGTTGCACCGAATGGAGGAAGAAATACCGCACGTGTGAAAAATTGAAGCTAAAATATTTACACATTTTAACATAAAAAATAGGATTGAGAATATCTTCCATTCAGCACAATCTGCTCCAAACTTAGAGGTTCATCAGCATCTAGACAGGGAGTATCTTCTCAATTAAAATTATTATGGGCTATGGAGAAACAGTGTCAACAATTTCAGATATATTAACCATAAAACACAGCTTCACAGAAGACTGCAATTTAATAAAAAGTGTAAAAATTGATAAGATCATGTTGAAAAAAGGCATTTTTTCAGAAAAATTTTAGCATTACCATGTTAATGACAACAATGGCTAAGTGGCCAATTAAGATATGCATATATATATATATATATCAAGACTATTTAGTTCTGCCATTTTAAAATGCTCAAGTAATCAATATAAAAAGTTTAAAAAATTTTTTGCTTTCATGTTCATAGCTATATGTCATTTTGAAATGTTCTAGAAATTTTTATTTTGAGTAGAATTAGTTGTTAGGTCCACCAATATGATAAAATAAAAATATTGGCCGATAAATACACATTTAAAAATTAAGGTAATATTAGTTATTTTTAGCACTCTCTTTCACTCCCAAAGACTCCCCCTGTGGCTCAGCTGGTAAAGAATCTGCCTGCAATGTGGGAGACCTGGGTTTGATCCCTGGGTTGGGAAGATCCCCTGGAGATGGGAACGGCTACCCACTCCAGTATTCTTGCCTGGAGAATCCCATGGGGTGTATAGTCCATGGGGTCACAAAAAGTCAGACACGACTGAGCGACTTGCACCTCACGTCATTCTCAAAGGTGTCCCAGTCTGAATAATGAGTTATGTGGTCACCGTCCTGCATGAACTGGGCCCTGACTCTGAATAATGAATTATGTGGTCACTGTCCTGCATGAATTGGGCCCTGACTCTTTGAATACTGAATTATGTGGTCACCGTCCTGCATGAATTGGGCCCTAACTCTATTCTTGTCTCACTGGTGCTGTCTACTGAGGTCACGCTGGTCTCTGCTTGTTCCATAGATGCTCCAAGAAGCTCTCTATCTGGACCGAATTACACTTGATATCTGCACACTGTCCTCACTCCCTTTAAGTCCTTGCCCAAGTGCTCCTTCCTCAACCAATATATTGATGAATGTCATCCCTCCCCCATCTCTTATCTCCTTGGTTGCTGTTTAGTCTCTAAGGAGTGTCTGACTCTTTTGCAACCCCATGGACTATAGCCCCCACCAGGCTCCTCTGTCCATGGAATTCTCCAGGCAAGAATACTGGAGTGGGTTGCCATTTCCTTCTCCAGGGGAACTTCCTGACCCAGGGATCAAACCCAGGTCTCCTATGTTGCAGGTGGATTCTTTACTGCCTGAGCCATCAGGGATCATTTCAGAATTTTTACTCAAATCTTTTTATCTATAATCAGGTCTCTCTTTTCTGTCTCTCTCTCACATCATTTTACATAAAAATTTAGAGGCTAAGTGTTACATAAATTTTTAGATGCAGGTATCCTGATGCTCAGCTCAGCAATCTTCTTCCTGCGTCTCCATGGTGTAAGNGGGGGGGGGGGGGGGGGGGGTGTCCCTGTATTTGATCACAAGCCAGCAACTGTGCTAAGCATTTGGCCTGTCTCTATGGGATGGCTGCTGCTCCTCTGCCTTGTGAAAGATTTGACATATGCTAGTGATCAGGCCCCTTTAGAAGCTCCAAACAAACATCTTCAAACTCTGGCTGTGGGTAAGTACTAGTATTCTTGTTAAATTTATTTTGTATTCAAAAATTTTATTGAAGTACAGTTGATCTACAATGTTGTGTTAACCCCTGATGTACAGCAAAGGGATTCAGTTATCATATACACACATGAATATATATATATATGTATATATATATTATCTATTTCTTTTTCATATTCTTTTCCATTATGGTTTTTCACAGGATATTGAATATAGCTCCCTGTACTTTACAGTAGGACTTTGTTGTTTATCCAACATTCAAATAATGAGAAATTCATTCTTTATTCTTCTCTGTCGCTTGCGTGTCTTAGGTGCAGCTTGTGTATACTACCGAGATCCAGGAACCCAATGTCTACAGGTATTTTTTTTCAATTAAATATTTAAACATTAGGGTTACTAGAGAACTGTTACCAACCTCTGTCTGGCCCACCATTTGCTTTGCAAGCGTTTGTTACTAGCATCCCTACTTCCCTCCCGCCTCCGTGGCCTGTGAGCAGTGGTGGGATTCCACCAGCTGCCATGCGGCGGTCTCTCAGGGAGCCTGGCTTCTAGATGGGTCGTCCAGCCACCCGGGCGGGCGGGCGCCGTTGTTTCCTTTACCCCCTGAAAATATGTGAACAGCCCGAGTCACCACGGGTGCTTCGGCCCAGCTATTCCAGATACCGAGCTTCAGTTCACAAAAGAGGCAACGCCTAAAGAAATGTCAGCAAGATGCTGACAAAATCTGAGCTAGGATCAGGGCTGAACTAAGACAGTGGGTCTCCATGGCAGACTGATGAATACATGTTGTTTTCGTTCAGTCGCTAAGTCGTGTCCGGCTCTGCAACCCCATGGACGGCAGCACGCCAGGCTCCTCTGTCCTTTCCTGTCTCCCGGAGTTTGCTCAAATTCGTGTCCGTGAGTCGGCGATGCTATCTAACCATCTCACCCTCTGTCACCCCCTTCTCCTTTTGCCTTCAGTCTTTCCCAGCATCAGGGTCTTTTCCAATGATCCGGCTCCTCGCATCAGGTGGCCAAAGTATTGGAGCTTCAGCTTCAGCAGTAATCCTTCCAATGAATATTCAGGCTTACTCAACATTTATTTAGCGGTGGAGGGATTTCCTTTTAATAAAAGTTACATATTGCTGCAGATTCTACTTTACTAAATGATCTCTTCCGGCCAAGGGAGAGTTGGACGATCTAAAAAAATTAAAGGGCCACTGTTTCTGTTCTCTCTTCAGTTATAGCTTGAAATTAAAAAAAAAAAATCAGCATTCTGGGAAGCAAATCAAAGGGTTTAAAATGTAGATGCTAAAACTTCACGCTTGGTGAAGAGAAACTGCACATCTTAACTTGCTTTCAGAATTGCAACCAGTAACGCACACGTGGCACAAAAATACAAGAAGGGCCTGGGCTCTCTTTTGAAGCCTTGGCCTGACTTCCCGTCTGAGGGGGCTGTCTGTTCTGGTGAGAGTGAAGGCAACTTACTAATATGTATGGCCAGCTTGCTCCAGTCCTAGGAAGCTGCCTGCTGGGCGTGCCCCTTAGGCCTTGCATCTCTCTCCTTTGTAAAAAGAAAAAAAAAGAAAACAAAGCAAAACAACCACAGCAAAACAGTAAGTAAGCGGTACACTGTAGGTTCTCAGTTCATCTTTAATTCTTGTTTACATTGAGGAAACCCAGACTTGAATGGAAACGCTAGTAAACAGGGACGCGTAGCATGAAACCCAGCCCAGCCAGCCACCGCTTGGCCGCGTCTGGCCTCGGGCCCGCTGATGGAGCGCGTGCTAACTTCCGGCGCCTTTCCTCCGGAGTGCAGACCCCGACAGACCCCGTCTCCCTCTTCTGTGACCCGGGAGAGCTGGCCGCTGCAGGCTGGGTTTTACCCGCTCCAGCGGCCGTAGGGTCGGTCGGCTCCCACCGGCTGCAGACGTCCCGTCTGAGGGGGCTGTCTGTTCTGGTGAGAGTGAAGGCAACTTACTAATATGTATGGCCAGCTTGCTCCAGTCCTAGGAAGCTGCCTGCTGGGCGTGCCCCTTAGGCCTTGCATCTCTCTCCTTTGTAAAAAGAAAAAAAAAGAAAACACAGCAAAACAGTAAGTAAGCGGTACACTGTAGGTTCTCAGTTCATCTTTAATTCTTGTTTACATTGAGGAAACCCAGACTTGAATAGAAACGCTAGTAAACACAGGGACGCGTAGCATGAGACCCAGCCCAGCCAGCCACCACTTGGCCGCGTCTGGCCTCGGGCCGCTGATGGAGCGCGTGCTAACTTCCGGCGCCTTTCCCCCGGAGTGCAGACCCCGACAGACCCCGTCTCCCTCTTCTGTGACCCGGGAGAGCTGGCCCCTGCAGGCTGGCTTTTACCCGCTCCAGCGGCCGTAGGGTCAGTCAGACGGGCCGGGCGGTGGGGGTGCCGGGGGGAGGGCTGCAAGGCCAGGATGTCAGGGCGTGTGCTCGCCCGGCCTCTGTCTCCGCCGCGTCTCTGACAGCAGTTGTATGTCCTTTTATGGCTTCTGATTCCCTCCTCTGCCTGGAAACCTGGGCTCCTGGGGTCTGGTGCCTTTGACCTAATGGCTTCTTGCTGTGCCTGACCTCTGGGATCCCTCACCGCTTGCTGTTTGCTTCTGAGCTCTCCATCACCTGTGGAATCAAATTGCTGGATGAAATTCCTTCTGCTTTCTCTCAGTCTTTGTATTTTCCGGAGCAGATCTCAACCGATACAAATGCCATTACTGAACGATACCCAGCGTGTCGATCTGTGTAGGAGAGTGACATGAAATCCAGGTGGCCTAGTCAACATGTAATGGGCTGATCCAAACCCTAGGCTGATATAATTCAGAGCCCGCAAGGCTTCCATGTGCAGATTCAGCATGAGACACAGAAGCAAGTTTCCTGCATGCTGTTTCCACCGTTCCCTTTGACTTGCTTAAATTAACCAAACATTACTTTCAACCTTGAAAGTATGTTCAATACCAGTTGTGGATATAACAATATGATGATTTTGAGAAATGTATCTTTTATATCACCCAAAATAATTTTAGTTAAGAATAGGGAGGGACACTTCATAAGCATATTGCAGAGGAATAAATAGGGGAAAAAATAAAGCCCTTCACTTGAGAAGTCTTGAACTCAACTTTTATATTTGTATTTTTTAGTGGTTTATCATAGGATTTTTTTTTAATTGGAGGATAGTTGCTTTACAGAGTTGTGTTAGTTTCTGCTGAACAACCACGTGAGTCAGCTCTCAGTATACGTATGTCTCCCCCTCTTGACCCTTCCCCACTCCAGCCCTCCCCTCTCGGTCATCACAGAGCTCCGAGCTGAGTTCCCTCTGCTATGTAGCAAATCTGGTCCCGTAGACCACCGGGCCATCCTGCCACCCCTGTCTGTATTATTAAGACCTCTGCATAATGAAGTTGTTACTGACGGCGTGCTTAAGTGCGTTGATCAGGTGGTGCTCATGGTAAAGAACCGGCCTGCCAGCGCAGGCGACTAATAAGAGACACAGGTGTGATCCCTGAGTCGGGAAGGTCCCCTGGAGAAGGGCCTGCAACCCACTGCAGGATTCGTGCCTGGAGAATCCCATGAACAGAGGAGCCTGGGAGTGGGGCGGGGTGCGGGGTGCGGTGCGGCTACAGTCCATGGGATCACAGTCTCAGACACGACTGAAGCGACTTAGCATGCACACATCATCTTTAATAAGAGATCGAGGGACGGATCAAAGGAGCTCTGATGGGAGGGTTTCTCTCTTTTCAGGAGCATGCCCTGAAGTGAAGTCATCATCGACACTTCAAGAGGTCTCTCATTTCTTATTTAGAAGTTGATACTGTTGACTCAGTTACTCTTAGGGCATTATGACAACGATCTCTCTTTCTACACTGCACTAGGCGTCTAGTTAGCAACTAGTCAGAGGGACTCCCCTGGCAGTCAGCTGTTGAGGGTTTGCGTTCCCAGTGCAGGGGGCACGGGGCTGATCCCTGGTTGGAGGACTAGGATTCTGCATGCTACATAGCACAGCCAAAAAAAAAAAGGGGGGGGGGTAACAAACCAGTGAGAGGCCTTTCAGAAAGAACAAGGATGCCCATCTGTGAGATGAACAGGTTTTTATATTATATAGGGCTGCATGAGAAGCTGCATTTGTTCTACGCTGGGACACAGGAGAGAGGTGTTTAGTCCTGCCACCTATTGTATTCCTAAAACTTGTGCCTGTGGCAGAAATTCCCGAGGGATTAAGACTGAAAAGAGTTGTGAGAGAGAGCTCCTTTGCACTTTGTTGGAAACCTCCAAGGACTAAATCTGTCACTTGCATACCTGACCATTTTTGTTCTTCCATTAACTACCCGCCTCCAAAAAAAAAAATACCAAATGCAAACTTGTGTCTGGTAGGAAGCCATATTGCACCTAAAGGACAAAGTCTTTTAAGAAGGGAAAAGATCCATTTTCCTCCTACATTTTCCTTGTTATTAGATATTCAAATGTACGTGAGCCACTAGAAGGACATGTTGTATCCAAGAGAGGGTCATTTTTTTGTTAAGAGAAGAAGATATCCATCTTTTTTCTACTTTCTCCCTAGTTGATAAGTATATAAAATAAGTAAAATAGTAAGACTTTGTTGTCATTTATGAAAACACATTTAGTGAATGATTTAGAATATTTGACTTTATTTATGGATTTCTGTGTGTTTCTCTCTCTCCCTCTCTCATACACACACACACAGTTTGGTGGGTTGTTAGCTAAGCTTCTTGATTAATTTGATGACAAACACTTCTCCAGATTCCGTTACTTGTATAACCCAGTAATTCCACTTCTCAGAATGTACTCTGTGGAAGTGAAGATATCACACATTTATTTAGCAGTGTTGACTGCAACAGTGAAAATCAGAAACAATCTAGGTGTGTAACAATAAATGATTGGTTTAATAGATTATAGCACATTATGCATTTGAAAACTGTATAGCCTTTATACATCATTTTAAAAGGTAATTTAGTGATAGAGAACACAAGCTAGCAGTCTGCAGGCCCAAACTAAGTTATTTGCCTTTTGTAGAGGGTAGAGCAAAGATTTTAGCGTCCCTAGGCCCCAGTTTCTTCACCTGGGGGTAGTACCACTTACCTCTATTGTTTTTACGAGGATTTAAAGAGAACCCATGTAAAACCCTTTACAGAGGGCCTAGTGATATTTACACACTCAATAATTGTTAACTATTATGGTTGCAAAGGATAGATAAGGATGTGAATTAGGGTATGGAAACATGTTAACTTTAAAACATGAAGAAAAACAGTACTATTCAAATTTCCTAAAATCATACATAATCGTAGAAGAGTGTAAAAACATAAGCCATCATGTCTAGAGTATTCAGTGCCTCTCAAAAGGAAGAGAATATGTGCTTTAATTTTTTTCTTTGTATTCCTCTGCAGTTTTAAAATTTTCTACATGTAACATTACTCATTTTATATTGAACATAATTTTTAATAGGAATCGCAGCATTATGACTATATTAATGTAGTATACTGAAAGTTATTTAATGGAATCATCGTGTGCATGCATCTAAGAGACACATGTACACGAGACTTGCACTGTCGATGCCCAGCCTGCCCCTCCTGCCGTCTCCTCTGTTTCTATCATTGTCTCTTTCCTAGTATAGCTGACCTTTGTTTTGAAAATATAACTTCATACACACAGTTATTTTGTAAACTCAGTTGTGTAAAAAGTCAAAGAGGTATCTTCTGCTTATTATTGCATATAAACCTAAAACTGCTCTGAAAAATAGTCCTTTAAAAAAGTCAAAGCAAAGAGTTCCCTGGCTGTCCAGTGGTTAGGACTCAGTGCTTTCCCTGATGGGCCCAGGTTCAGTCCCTGGTTGGAGAACTAAGATTCCACAAGGCTCGCAGCACAGCCAAACACAAACCAAAAAAAAGTCTGACAAATCGGAAATACCCAGGGTAAAATGTGAGACCACCTCCAGCAGAGTCTGTCCTCCCACCCTCTGATGACCAGCTCGACAGGTCTGTCTTCTTACAGGTCTCTGTGCGTGCAGCATCATACTTATGTATCTGTGTTTTTAAAATGATGTAAATGGAAGGATATTTTTCATATTGTTCTGGGCCTTGTTTTTTTTTTTAAGTTAGCAGTATAAATTAGAAGTCTTCCTTAGTTCACATAAATCTGTCAACATTTTTTTTTTAGCAGCCACAGGGTATTTTATAGTTCGAGTGGACCATCATTTATTTGAGTATATGTCCATTTAGATTTAATTTGCTCATAAAACTATACTGCTTTTGTGTTTCAAGGATTGTCTTTGTGCATATATCTTTATAGATATGTCCAATTTTTCTGTAAGATAGAGTCTCGGAAGTAAAGTTGCTGAATTGGCCTAGTTTTAGTCATATCTAAAGGGTTAGTGAGTCTAACCAGGTGGCACAGTGGGAAAAGAACCTACCTGCCAATGCAGGAGACCTAAGAGATGCCGGTTCAATCCCTGGGTCGGGAAGGTCCCCTAGAGAAAGGCGTGGCAACCCACTCCAGTATTCTCACCTGGAGAATCCCAAAGACAGAGGAGCCTGGTGGGCTACAGTCCATAGGGTCTCAAAGAGTCGGAGATGACTGAAGTGACTTAGCATGCATGCAAAGGATTAATAGTTCAAACTGCATTTTCTGGTATTTTATGCACGGTCTAACGCTTATTTGAGTTTTGATGTGTTGGTATGCTTTTTTTCTTTCCTCCTTACAGTGAGATTCAAGAGCCGAAGGCATCACCACCAGCTTCTAAAACCTCGGCCGCCGCACAGCTGGATGAGCTGATGGCCCATCTGTGTGAAATGCAGCGTCAGGTGAGCACGCTCTGTGACACAGCCTGCAGGGCTCATCTCTGTGGACCCCCGCCCTGCCCTCCCACTTTAGAAACCCTCCGAAGTCCTTACGGATTCTGCCGGGCTCAGTTTAACTCAGTGGATGAGCCCACTGAAGTACCGCTGATTTACAGAGTGTTGTATCTGTTTCCGGTGTTCAGCAGAACCATTCAGTTCTGTATCTCCATCTATATCTCTATCTGACTTTTTTCTGTTAGAGGTTATTGCGAAACATTGAGCACGGTTCCCTGTGGTGCACGGCAGTGGGTCCTTGGTGGTGGTCTGTTTTATATAATGTGCCCATGGTGATCCCAAAGTCCCGATTTAGCCCTCCCGCCCTTTACCCCCATGTGCGCTGAGCCGCTCCAGTCGGGTCCGACTCTGAGACCCCATGGACCGTGGCCCGCCAGCCTCCTCTGTCCACGGGATTCTCCAGGCCAGAACACTGGAGTGGTTGTCATCTCCTCCTCCAGGGATCTTCCCGACCCAGGGATGAACGCTCACCTCTTACATTCCTGCATTGGCAGGTGGTTCTTTGTCCTCAGCGGCACCTGGGAGGCCTTTGACCCCCTTGGAAACCATACTTTTTTTTTTTTTTTAGTCTATGGATCTATTTCTGTTTTGTATATAAGTGCATTTGTATTGGGTTTTTTTTAGATGTCTTATCTGGACATAAAAGACTGCGATGCAGGTTCTGATCTCAAGGGCCTTGGAGTGTGCTTGATAAAATGAGACATAAGACTAGGTGACATTTACTAGACTAAAAGATAGACTGTTTGCCACTAAAACTGCATAAAGTGTGGAAGGGCTGTTAAAGAGACCTCCCTGAGTGAGGTGGAGGAGACCCACGGCAAGCTGGAGCAGAGCAAGGGAGAGCAAGCGTGGCTTTGAAAGGAAGGATGAGTCCCAAGCTCTTACTGAGAGGAAATCCACCCCTCCTGGTCTCGTCTCTGGGCTTCCCTGGTGGCTTAGAGGGAAAGAATCCACCTGCAGCGCAGGAGACCCGGTTTGATCCCTGGGTCGGGAAGATCCCCTGGAGAAGGAAATGGCAACCCACTCCAGCATTCTTGCCGGGAGAATCCCGTGGACAGAGGAGCCTGGCGGGCTCCAGTCCATGAGGTCGCAAGAGTCGGACACGACTGAGCGACTAAACCAGCACCACCATGGTGGATCAACAGTGCGATAACTTCAGGGGTACAGCAAAGTGGTTCAGCTACGTACATACACACGTATCCTTTTCCCAGTCTTTTCCCATTTAGCTTATTACAGAATACTGAGCTAGAATTCTTAAGGTAGAGAATCCAAACATTCTGAATTGGCTGGGGTATTTCACATGCACACGTGAAGTGACTATGAAGTAATTTCAAGGCGGTGCATAAAACTGTGTGTGATTGAAGGGCAGGAATCTTATCTCTGTGGCTCACCTTTGGCTTTCCAGCGCTGTTTCTGATATATTATGTATAACCATGTTATTAGAGACACAATGAATAAATATCAGAAACAAGTTTTCTTTTTAATATTTACAGTAAAGCTGAGTGCATTCCTCATTGCATTGTATATCTGAAAATTTGTTGTTTAGTTGCTGAATCGTGCCAACTATTTTACAACCCCGTGGACTGTAGCCCAGCAGGAGCCTTTGTCCCTGGGATTTCCCAGTCAAGAGTACTGGAGTGGGTTGCCATTTCCTCCTCCAGGGGCTCTTCCCGACTCCAGAATGGAACCTGCATCTCCTGCAGCGGCCGGCGGATTCTCTACCACTGAGGCACCAGGGAAGCCCATGTCTGAAAATACTAGGAAAAAAAATCTACATTAGCAGTTTTAATTGTGTGGTGTTTTAAAATTGATTTAGCATGTGTCTTAGTTTATTTACATTTAAAAATTTATGTTTAATAGCCATACCTTTACACTATACAAACATCCAGAGTATAACAGTGTACAGTGAAGCATTCCAAGCCATCCAGTTCTGCCCCCTGGAGGTACTCAATATTTTCTGTTTTCCACATAATCCTTTCAGAAACATTCTGATATATACCAGCAAATAGATTTAATTGTATATATAGACACAGATACATTGCTGCATTTTTACTGAGTTACTTTCAGGCCGTTTTGATGTTAGCCTTTAGAACACTAATCTCTTGAGCGTTAACTAACATTATATAATAGGAGAGGAAGGAAATGTGTCAAATGGTAAGTTTCTTGAAGGGAAATGAGCATTTTGGATTAGTGAGATAGTGGGAAGCTGTCCCAGGCAGAGGCCTGAAGGCTAATGGTAACAGATCACTTTCGGGAGACGGCCGGGAGCCTGGCTGGCTTTAAACAATGGGGGCTTTTTACTGAGTAATCAGAGATGAAACCGGGAAGGTAAAGTGAGGGCAGTGGACGGAGACGCAGTGTCCGTCTGTTGCTGCAACTTCAGTGCCGGAGGCCATGGAGAAGCGCTGCAGTCCTCTGGTCCGAAGTCCCCGTAGTCTGGAAACTGGGAGTTGAGAGAGACGAGTTGGGCAACTGTTCTGTAATTTGAAGTTTTCCCTTTGAATGTTTTATCACAGCGGCACTGGAGTTTCTCTTTAATAAATCCAACCGGTCACCAAGTTTTATCTGAGCACCTCTCACCTCCTTCTCCACCATCACTGGCCCAAGGCATTTCTGATCCGAGCTGTGTTGAAAGTCTCCTGCCTAACGAGCGCCTCTGATTCCACTCTTGCTTTGTCTGCACCTGATTCCTCACTCAGCTACCCCAGGGACCTTGTGAATCAGATTCTCTCCCTCTCATGCTTGAAGTGCCCTAATGGTTCCATCACCTTCAGAATAAAACCGGAGCTTTATTAAATAATAACAATTATTTATTTTCATTAAGTAGTAAAACCGAAGCTTTATCCTGCGGGCTTTGTGTGATCATGGCCTCTTTTTCCATTGTTTTCTCCTGCCTCACTCATCCTCACTCCCTGTGTTCCAGCCCTCCTGACCTCTTTTTACTTTTTATGTGTCAGACTGTCTCACTCCTCTGGGCCGTCCTTCCCTCTAGAATGCTTTCCTCACAATTATCGATATTTCTGTGTCTCAGTACATCACTCAAATATCTGCTCAAGTACCAGCTTCTTAGCCTTCTCCGATCGCCCTCATCTGAATCCCACGCTCTGTCTTTTGCCTCAATATATGATTCATGTCTCTAACCTGACATCATATCATCTATTATTTCTTTAATTGCTTACTGTTTGTTACTCAGAGAAAATAAATTCCATGAGGGCAGACACTTGGTTAGTCTTGAGAATTGCTCTGCACCATGAGCCTAGAGCAGTGAGTGGCACAAACTAGCTGCCCAAAAAACACTGCAACATAAATGAATAAAAAGAAGATGAATTGCTGACCTGCAGTCATCATAAGAGATAAGGTATCAGCTTCCGAGGTCCAACTTCCTACTGCCAGAAGAGATTTGCAAACAGGAAGACTAGTCAGATTTCATTCAGCCTGAGGAACTTAGAATGAAAGGGAGATGAAAGCATTTTTTTTTTTTTTGGTGTTGCAATGTTAGATTTTTCCAGCGCCTTGGAGGAAGTTCAGGGAAAGACTAAGACATAGTGCAGAAGATGCTAATGAGGATGACTCTCTTGACGGTTCTCTTCTTGGTACAGGTTACAGTGAAAGCAGATGCCAGCAAGAAACCCGTATCTGACGAGCAGGATCACAAGGCCTCCCTGGACTCCATGCTGGGGGGCTTGCAGCAGGACTTGCAGAACCTGGGAATTGCCACAGTGCTCAAGGGCCACTGTGCCTCCTGCAAGAAACCGATCGCTGGAAAGGTGGGATGGGCCAGGACATGGATCCTACAGCCTTCCGTGTCTGTGCGTCCGTCTCCATCCTCCAAGGCCTGCTCTTTCTTCTCGTAATCTAAGACAGTTTAGTAACACCGATCCTTTACAGTGCTCCAGGCGTGGACTAAGCACCGTACAAGTCTTCTTTTATTTAGTGGCTGCATTATCCCTTCAGTCCTGCATTGGGAAGATCCCCTGGAGACGGGCATGGCAACCCACTCCAGTATTCTTGCCTGGAGAATCCCCATGAACAGAGGAACCTGGTGGGCTACAGTCCATGGGGTCGCAAAGAGTCAGATACAACTGAGCGACTGAGTGTACACACACAGACACACAGCCCTTCAGTGGTCACAAGCTCTTTGTAAAGTGAGGAAACTGAGGGCCCAGGGTCATTAACTGACACAGCCAAGGTCTAGTAAGAGGTCAATGTGAGATCCAAATCCGGGAGATTCTGGCTTGAGAGTTTGAGCTCCTAACCGTTTTCCTCTACTACCTTATGGAGAATAACTTTTCCTCTGCTCCCTCGGTTCAAATCTTCCCAGTGCAAAGTGACTGATTATAACTTTCAGCCACTCCCAGCATCATAGCATGACCACAAATTCCTGCTTGGGCACCATCCTTCATCCAAGGCATTATAAAGGGCGTTGAGACCTGACTTTCCACAGGGTGTGAGATGAGGTGTCCAGATCAGAGGAATAAAAACTGTCATTGGTCTTCTCCTGTTCCCGGGATCCCTTCCAGGCCAAGCGTGTCATCCGTCACCACTACGCTCTATTTCGTGTCTGTAATTTTCTGGGGCAGTATAGCGGAATGAGCATTTATTGAGTCGGGACAGTGGACTCCATGCCATTATCCGTGAATTACAGACCACAGGTGGAGAAGGGAATGGCAGCCCACTCCAGTACTCTTGCCTGGAGAATCCCAGGGACAGAGGAGCCTGGTGGGCTGCAGTTCATGGGGTCACAAAGAGTCGGGCACGACTGAGCGACATACCCAGGGACCACAGGCCGCGTGAGTGCACCCGAGGTCTTGGCCTCAGTGCGGCGTAACTGCAGGGGTGTCGTTTCCATGGATGCTGTTGAAAGGGCACGCCCCAGAGTCGCACCCGCTGCGGTCCCCCAGGTGCCGGGCCCCCACGCCAGGCTTGCTTCACCCTGCAGGTGATCCACGCGCTGGGGCAGGCCTGGCATCCCGAGCACTTCGTGTGCGCCCACTGTAAGGGGGAGATCGGCTCCAGCCCCTTCTTCGAGCGGAGCGGCCTGGCCTACTGCGCCGAGGACTACCACCGCCTCTTCTCTCCGCGCTGCGCCTACTGCGCCGCCCCCATCCTGGACGTGAGTGAGCCCCCGCCCCCGCCTTCGCGCAGCTTTTGTTTCACAGCTCCGCGGCCTCCTAATCGCGCTCCCCGTTGCTTTTCCAGAAAGTGCTGACGGCCATGAACCAAACCTGGCACCCGGAGCACTTCTTCTGCGCTCACTGTGGAGAGGTGTTCGGTGAAGAAGGTACGGCCCGGTGGTTACAAGAGCACCAGCGGGGCTTTTCGCTGATCTTCTCAGCTGGTCCTGCTTCCTGCCTCGACCACCCAGGTGCCCTTTTCGGTACCAAGCGCCATCCCTTCCTACCTGATCTGACATTGATACCTTTTGCTTAAATGAAAATTTTAAATCAAAGTCATACAAATGCATAGTTTAAAATGCAAATACTACGCCAAGAGCAATAGTAAAAAAGAACACTCCCTTGCGTTCCCTTTTTCCACCCCCAAGTCCAGTTCTCCTCTCTAAATATTTTAGCTTCTTCTATTATTTACTTGTGGGGCTTCCCAGGTGGCCTAGTGGTAAAGAACCTGCCTGCAGGTTGCATCCCTGGGTGGGGAAGATCCCCTGGAGGAGGGCATGGCACCCCACTCCAGTGTTCTTGCCTGGAGAATCCCATGGACAGAGGAGCTGGGGGAGGCTACAGTCCACAGGGTCGCAAAGAGTCGGACAGGACTGAGCGATGAAGCACAGCACATCATTTACTTGTATATTTTGAATAGTATGTTCCTCTATGTTGATTTTTTGTCCAATTTTAGCCATTACACGGTAACGTTCTACCAAGAGAGATAAGGATTTAGAAATGCTATTACTCCTCCACCCACCCCCAAGGTAATTCCCCTCCCCTATTCTCTCAGTTATAGTTAGGTCGTAATTATATAAGTCAGATGAGTATTCGATGTGTACATGTTGACAGTCACATAAATATTGCTCACAATTGAGTCATGTAACAAACTGTGATATAGTACGGTGTGGATTTGGGGGTTCGTCTGCCTGGTTCAAATCTGGGCTGTGGTATTTATTAGCCATGTGATGTTTAAGTTATTTGACCTTCTTTGGAGCTCACTTCCCTCATGAGTAAAATGGACCTAATAATAATGCTTACTTTAGGACTTCCCTCGTGGTCCAGTGGTTAAGATTCTATGCTTCCAATGCAGGGGGTGTGGGTTCGATCCTGGTTGGGAATCTAAGCTCTCACATACCATGTGGCACGACCAAAAAGCTTTTTTTTTGAAGTAAGAAAAAATGATGTTTACTGTATAGGGTCATTATGAGGATTTTAAGAGACAATATCAGTGTAGTGTTTGCAATGGTGCCTGGCACGTGAAGACTGGTAATGAAGATGACGATCATTGCCTTGGTGTCCTTTTCATACACATGTGTTATTTACTGAAATTAACATCTGGATCCCTTTTCCATTCGCTTAATTCTTATTGTAATTATCACTAATTTATCTGACAGAGCTGCTAAATCCTTCTCAAAATGGTCATCCACTTCTGGTAATACGTCAGTTCCATTTGTTTTATGTTTTTTTTTTTCTTGGAGACATCTGTCCAGGAGACTTTCATCCTTCTGCTCCAGCCTGCCTGCTAAGAAACAATACTTTATCTCAGGAATCCCTTGTACTAAATCCCTTCCTCCGTCTTTGAATATGTATTACTGCTTTTATTTTGGTGGAGCACTGCCTCCAGTAGCTCCTGGTAAAAGCTTTGAAACCTTGAGCATCTGAAAATATCTTGTCTCCCTGAAGTGTCCTGGATGTGGAATTCTAGGTAGAAGCTACTTCCCTTATCACTCTGAAGACATTTTGCCACTGTCTTCTAGGCTCCATGGCTGAAAGTTTCTTTTATTCAGATTTTGTTCTTCTTCCTGACACTTTCTACCTGACCTGTTTCGCCCTTGTTGCAGGCTGTTTGCTCCCTTCTGTTTTCTGCGTTGTCTTGATTTTTTTTTTCCTGACTTCTTCTTTTTATGTTTGTTTTGAACCAATATGACTCATATATGAAAGTAGAACGCTTCTTTTTCTTTTCCTGTGCTTCTTTTTCTTTTCCTGTCCTTTTAGAATTAATTCATGGGGAAAGTTTTCTTCTAAATAAAAATTTGAGGCAGTCTTATGTCTTTTTTGATTATTCTTAATGAACTACTCTAAATAGAAAATCAATTTAAGACACAAAACACGAATCCAAGTCCTTAGGTAATTCGTTCTGTGTGATAACTAAAGCCTCCAACTTATTTAAAGTGACAGGTACTCTCTCCCCTGGTGGGTCCTTTAAGCTGCAGGAGGCCGGGGAAGCGGGCTAAGGCCGGTGATTGGTCCTTTCCTGCTTTTATTCTCACACCCATTGCTAATCTCCACAGCTGACCCCTCCAGGGTTGAATCAGGGGTGGACGGGTTTAGCCTGGAGGGCAGAAAAGCTCTAAGTTGTCTCATTTGCTTTGACCTCTCTGGGCTTGGCATATAATTAACTCCGACTTTCTTGTTGTTGTGGAGTTTTTTGATTATTCTTAATGAACTACTCTAAATAGAAAATCAATTTAAGACACAAAACACGAATCCAAGTCCTTAGGTAATTCGTTCTGTGTGATAACTAAAGCCTCCAACTTATTTAAAGTGACAGGTACTCTCTCCCCTGGTGGGTCCTTTAAGCTGCCGGAGGCCGGGGAAGCGGGCTAAGGCCGGTGATTGGTCCTTTCCTGCTTTTATTCTCACACCCATTGCTAATCTCCACAGCTGACCCCTCCAGGGTTGAATCAGGGGTGGACGGGTTTAGCCTGGAGGGCAGAAAAGCTCTAAGTTGTCTCATTTGCTTTGACCTCTCTGGGCTTGGCATATAATTAACTCCGACTTTCTTGTTGTTGTGGAGTGGCTAAGTCGTGTCCGACTCTTTGCGATCCTTTGGACTGTAGCCCACCAGGCTTCTCTGTCCATGGGGTTTTCCAGGCAAGAATACTGGAGTGGGTAGCCATCTCCTTCTCCAGGGGATCTTCCAGACCCAGGGATTGAACCTGGGGCTCCTGCGTTGCAGGGAGATGCTTTACCTTCTGAGCCGCCGGGGAAGCTGGCTCGAATGACTGCACTTAATTTCAGGTGCCTCGCTCCATTCAGCGGCCGTAGGCCCTTTAACCAGACTCTCAGCTGTGGGTGTTTTCCGGGGATGAGTCAGATAGCACCAGCTGTACCCCACGCCTGGCGGGCACCCAGCTCTCGGAGTGGTTCCACTGCAGCCCCTCTCTTGACTTGAGGTTCCCCGGGACCGCACCTCACGCCTCTCGGCGATGCTGGGGCACGCACAGCACAGCTTTCTCAGAGAAACCCCTGTCTCAGCTTCCCTTTCTCTTTGCTGATCTTCAGTTGCTCAGTCCTGTCCACTCTCTGGGGCCCCATGGACCGCAGCACGCCAGGCCTCGCTGTCCTTCACCATCTCCCGGAATTTGCTCAAACTCTTGTCCATCCGGGTTGGTGATGCCCTCCAGCCATCTCGTCATCCATCTCCCCTTCTCCTCTTGCCCTCAATCTTTCCCATCAGGGAAAAGATCCTTTCTCTTTACCTGTTTTATATCCTTGGTGTAAGTGAAGAGTCCAAGGTTTGTGCAGATTTGTGCAGCTAGATAACTGTCTACTTTGAGGGACGTCTTGCCACCCACTTTGAACTTTGACATCTATCACATCTTGATGCCTCCCATCCCGTTGCATTGGTCTTTGCCAAGTGCTGCTGGCCTTTGCTTGCCCATTCTTTATTTAAGAATGAATGAGACACTTTAATGCTAACCAGAAGCTCTGTGGGTGAGGCAGAATGTGCTGACTGGTGGGCTGGTACTCAGGGAGGGTGCTGCAGGACCCTCGAATATTAATATTTTAGGTCTTCTGCCTTGAATAAATTTTACCAAAGAGCTGTACTCTCTGTCAGCTTTACAAAAATTAGTAAAAGGGATTAGGGGATGGGGTTTTTACCATTCAGTATGCCAACTTTTATTTAATTCCCATTTTCTACTAAAAAACACAGAACTTTAATTCATCAGGCTTCCCCGGTGGCTCAGAGAGTAATCGCTCTGAGCTGCCCTGTGGCTCTACCTGCAATGAGGAGACCCGGGTTTGGTCCCTGGGTCAGGAAGATCCCCTGTAGAAGGGAACAGCAACCCACTCCAGTGATCTTGCCAAGAGAATCCATGGACAGAGAAGCCTGACCGGCTATAGTCCGTAGAGTTGCAAAGAGTTGGACAGGGCTGAGCGACTAATACTTTTAGTATAAAGCTTGACTTCTTTTTTTATAATAAATGTCCAGTATCCCTGAACACTTAGACCCTCTGACTTGAAATTTACAGAAGTAATCATTGCATCTTATGGTTCGGATGGGGAATCTGATTTTCTGACAGTTCTTCAGACTTTCAACCAATCCTGCTTCCAGCCTTGAAGACTATTTTATGACTTTAAAATAAGCTGAGCCTGAGCTCCTTTGATGTTTGGAGCTCAGGATGGTTGAGGGTTTTTTGGCCATGCTACTCAGCATGCGGAATGTGGGATCTACGTTCCCTGACTAAGGATCAGACCCATGCCCCCTGCAGTGGAAGCACAAAGTGTTTACCACTGGACCACCAGCAAGCCCCAGGATGGCTTCAGTTTTACCAGCGTCTCCCTCTTTCATTATCTAGGTTTCAGATTTTTGCTGTTGTTGTTTGTTTATTTTGTTTTGTTTCTGCCAAGCTAGATGCCACTCTAATAGCTAATTTAAATTTTAGACGATTTTGATATTTTACCTGTGATATGGTCTTCCCTTTTCTCTTTTTCCCCATGAATCTTTCTGTTTTAAATAATTCTTTACCTATTGTGATAGTGATGTTTCAAGAGGGTATGAAGATAAGCCCCATGTTATGCTAGTTCTCCTGGAACTACTGGTCTTCAGTATCAGGCAGGTTAACATGTATGTGTGCTAAGTTGCTTCAGTCGGGTCCAACTCTCTGTGATGCTATGGACTCCAGCCTTCCAGGCTCCTCTGTTCATGGAATTCTCCAGGCAAGAATGCTGAAGTGGGTTGCCCCACCCTCCTCTAGGGATGGAACCCGGCCCAGGGATCAAACCCACATCTCTCATGCCTCCTGCATTGGCAGGAGGCTTCTTTACCACTAGTGCCACCTGGGAAACCCTGTGTATGTTCCTAACTATTACTCATTTAATCCCCACCACAACTTTG